ATTTTTTCAACAAAAAAGTTGTAATTTGAAATTGGTGGAAAATTTTGGAAAATGTTTTCTTTTATTTTTGAAGAGAAGTCATTTTCCTTGAATTTGAGGAAAATGAGTTGATTTGGAAAACATTTTCCAAAACATTTAATCCAACCAAACATGAGAAAATTGGAAAACATTTTCTGTTCATACCAAACACACCCTAAGAAAAATCAGTTTTGATCTCATGATGATTTAAAAGTACCATGTCTTAGTGTACTTATGTATTCTGTTATTTCTATTTATGAAATAATATATTTTTGTAGGAAAGACATATGTTTACTTATATTTAAAAATATTTTGAATGCAATAAAATATTGATATGAACTTGTTATCTCTAATCAAAATTGTCAAGGAATTGTTGGTAATGCAAAGTGCAGGAAAGTTATTTGATCTACATAAAGTCATAACTCACTGAAGTTATATCAACTTATTCTACAAGAGTATTAAGTTATAAATATTATTATCTTGTTATACAAAAAAAAAAAAAACTTGTTCTACAAAAATCAATTGCAAATGAAAGTGTCCACGATTGTTTCTATAAACAAGTTTAATCGGCAATATAATTGCAATAGCAAGGGCACAAATAGAATGATTTTTAGAATGTATTTGGTTAAACTCAAAGCCTCATCATATCTATGAAATCAGAAAATGATATATCTGGATGAGTTCAAGAATGCAACTTCTTCATGAATAAATCGATCACAAAGTCACTATCAATATCAACATTTGAGAAGCTAGTATACAAGATTTGACATCATCACAAGAAATTGAGTGATGTTTTAATCAACAAGAGTATAATACACATTGTACTCATAATGAGTATTAAAGATATGAATACTCTTTTTCCTTCACTAGAATTTTGCTCATAGAATTTTGGGAAAAAAGTCTGAAATATATCTGAACTTTGATCGAAATTGTTTAACGACACCAAACTTTGAAAAGGACCTTTTATCCCCCTGCACTATTTAATAGTGTATTTTAAAAGTATATATGTGCCCACGTGGACATCATAAATATTGCATAATTATAAATAGTAGCGTGTCCGCGTGGGCACATATCTATCTATGTATAAAAAGAGAAGAAAAAAATGACACATGTCAACACCACAAATTTTCAGTATTTTAAATTATTTTAAATAATTAATAATCAATAATTAAATAAATAAATATAGACACATGTCAATAATTAGAATTAGAATGACACATGTCAACACCACAAAAATAAAATATAAATAAATAAATTTTAAACAAACTATTTAAAATACAAAAAAATAAAAATAAAATACCAACGGACA